CCGCTATTCTACCGAGCGAAACAAGGTTAAAATTGCGTGATTCGGACTATCTATGCCATAAAATGTTTTGTGCTCTTATCAATTCTTATCTGAAAGATTAGATTGGCTCATTTGATCTGACTTTGAGTCTTTCTTCTTCCATCATTAAATTTGTCCTTTTGTAAAGAATTGTTTAGAAATATGCCGACTAATACTGTGGAGGGCTTTGCCACTAAAGCCATTCATGCTGGACAGGATCCACTACAATGGAGTCATTGTTCTGTCATTCCACCACTTGTAATGTCTACGACTTATCAACAAGATGGACCTGCTCAGCATAAGGTATGTTTAGATGATTTTTATATTGAAAATAAAATTTAAAGAGCAATGTCAAAATTCTAGGAAATTTGTTCCTGAGAATGAACAATATGGAAAAAATATGTTTGTTATTCCCTCAGGTAACCAGAATATAAAGGGAACAAAAAACAAACAAGGGAACAATACGAACAATAAGCATTTGATTCTGTATTTTTTTCATGGTTCAAACAAAAATAATTATAAAAATAAAATATGACAAAATCCGGAGAAACAAAAAAAATTTAGGGCGTCCGCTTTGCCCTGAGTATCCGATTTGCACCCATTAGCTTGGATACAGCCATCCCTAAATCTTATTGTTGGCGAACAAAAAAATTTCCATAAAATATTATTTCAATTGTTGTTCAACCAATATTAGGTAGTCAACTGAAAGCACATTCAGTAATTTATACCTATGCCCACTTTAGCTGTCATATTTTTTTTCAATGCTGTGTGAAACCTGCTCCATGTTCTTTATAAATGGATTTTATTAAAATTAGGTCTGAACGAAAAAGAATAATCGAGCTCATCAACAAACAAATTGCCATTCTATGAAGATTTTTTTCATTTTCAAAGGGTTTTGAGTATGGAAGGAGTGGCAACCCTACACGTAATGTGTTGGAGACTTGCTTAGCAGCCATAGAAAATGGCAAACACGGTTTAGCTTTCGCCTCGGGTCTTGGTGCTACAACAGCCCTGGCTTCTCTTTTGGATGCTGGGGATCACATCATCTGCTGCGATGACGTCTATGGTGGTACCAATCGATATTTCAGAACTTGCTGCTCCAAGAACAATATCCAAATCACCTTCACTGATGCCACAAATATAAAAACTGTTATTAACAGCATCCAACCCACTACGAAGGTATCTTATTTTTTTTTATAATAGTTATTTAACGTCTAGCACTATAGAAAAAATCTTTTTTTCTAAGTAAAAATCTAATTTAAAAATCCAAGTCTTATAATGCATTTTTCCTAGTTTATAAAACTGTCTAGAAAATTCTACATTTTTTAGTTGAGAAATAAATCACCCGGACAATGTCAATAATCAACCATTGAAAGGATTATAACTCATTTCATAACGAAAATATGGCATAAAAATGAAAAAATAGAATACAGCGCCAGATATCCATTCAGAAAGATCTTGATAACTTATTTACAAAACAGGGATACGGAGAAAATGAAACATAATTGTCTTTTTGTTTGATGCATATCACGAATTTTTATCATTTTCAGATGATTTGGATTGAATCGCCGACGAATCCGCTCCTGAAAATTATTGATATAAAAGCTATTAGTGAAGCCGTGAAAGCCGTTAACTCGGAAATTATCATTGTTGTTGACAATAGCTTCCTCACATGCTACTTCCAAGTGAGTATTGAGTGTATACCATTCGAAAAATATCTGCACGTCATATATTTAACAAATGCGTAAATGGGATTTATCTAATTAGTTTTTAACTACCTCCATTAAACCATGATTTCGTCATGTTCTCTAGAATTACGCATTTCATTGCTCAAGGAATCATTATTCTTTTTCGAATCTAATTTAATAAAAAATCATTATTAATCATTATTAGTTTCTAAACATTTACCCACATTTTTATTGAGACTATATACAGGGGTAAGTGGTGAGGGTTCTCTGCTAAGTTTGATTACTAATCGAATATTATAAGTATCCCATAACTTTTTTTTTATATTCCGGCCCTTTCTGCCCTGTTTTGGCTAAGAGGTTTTACACGGAGAAAAAAATACATCACTATTTCGTGTGAGTCCATTAAAAAATTGGTGTGCTATTCACCAACCCATGGGACGAAACCGTGGTCAACAAAAAATTCGAATGTGGCGCCCCAATTTTTAAGAGAGTCTCACGGAAAAGTAGCGTAAGTTCTTCAAAAATTAGGGTGCCACATCCGAATTTTTCGGGTGGGTCATTCGAATTTTTTGTTGACCACGGTTTGGTCCCATGGGTTGGTGAATAGCGGACTAATTTGTGGTACAATTTTTTCTCAGTGTATCTCACCCTATGCATGCGGCTGTAGATCCTACACTGTACCGTATTCACTCTCCTATAGAACATACGAGCGGCATGGGAAACCACAGAAAAAACCATGTCGGTACAGGCGGTTGCTCTATTAGCAACCTCCCGCTTATTGCTGCATGTTGAAAAATAGTATCCCTCAATTCTGTTTATCGATTCTTAGTCGGCTTCTGTCACCGTTGCAATGAATTCCATTTCCTTTTTTCCTGCCCTTAGTTTACACCTATCTTATTACTTTCTTTTATCGTAACCCTAGTACAATCTCAACAATTTATCACAATTGCTCACAATTTATGCTATAAATGGGTTGAAATCTCCCTTAACAAGAGAAGAATCCTGTTGTATGGACAGTGGAAGGAGAAAATCCATGTAACGAAAGCCAAAAAGACCTCGAATGGATGACAT